CCCCAAAACCCCAAAACCCCAAAACCCCAAAACCCCAAAACCCCAGGTTAGTATTAAAGGTTGAGAGAATCAATAAAATAATAAAATAAATTCTTCGAATGTTCTCAAATACCAACTTCAGAAGCAGCTTCCATGATATCATGCTCCCAGCCTTTTCTCAAAGTGAAATAGAGGTAAGCAAAGTATTTTATCGCATTTTCTTCTTCAGATTTTGAAACTACGCCAATTTGAAACTCTTGATCATCTTGACCAGTAGAGGTTTAGTGCACTAAACCTGAGTTAAGAACTTCTGATGGATGCTTTTAGTCAACAATAACTCTTTTATGCTCTATATTTCTGCAAACCAAGATTAATAAAATTTTTGGTGCTATTTGTATTTTCTCATTTTTCTGATAAACCTTTCGGAAAGAACTCTGACTAAACTTATATTATAGAATCAACTTATTACAATTCAGAATTTCGATGAATTCATCAGTGCTGCTGATAGCCAAGAGGCTTGGACAACTTACTCATTGAACGAAAAATTCCAGTTCTTCTTCCCTGGCATTAATGGAAAGTTAGAGGATACCTCTAGCTCCTCTTTCGTTTCCAGTAAGGAAGACATGATTTCCAGTACCAATAGTATTGAATTTTACGATAAAGAAGGGTCAGAAAATTCTTCCAGTCTGGAAGAAGTCAAGGACACCCTTGAGTTCTTAGAGCCACTCACTTACACTGGGATTCCCCTTAACAAAGAGAAGGAGAAGGACAGAGTCAAGCAGGATACTATTAATAAAGTATTCCTCAGAATGATCAGAAGATTTTACCATAAACTCTTTCTTCAAGAAAACTTGAAGATGTCACGCAAGCGTTTTGTTAATATTGACTATGACAAGCAACTCTCTGCTTATCAAGAACTCATCCAAAAATATCTAAAGGCAGATAATGGACTCGAGCTATCATATTTTTTGATAAAATTATGAAATCTTAGGGCTAAGAACTCGCCTGACAACATGAATGATGCTGAGCTTAATGGAGCAGAGATTGGCAAGCTTACCAAGAGCTTCTCCAGAGTAAAATTCGCAGAGCTCCACAAGAATAAGCTGTTTAGACAGCTTTTCCACTTCATCTACCACGGCACTATTGAGAATGGGAGTAAAAGATGAATAGATGTTCTTTTTGACCAGGAGAGCTACAATATTACCAAGCACAACAAGAAATACACTAGAGCTTTCGCTAGGATGAACTACCTGTGCCAACAGCAGGAATAATCATGTTTTAATATCTAATTGTTACTTAACACCATTTCTCTGAAACGTCACAAAGTATTTACTGGATGGAAAGAAATTCTCTCTGATAATTTTTCAATATTTTAGTTACAACACCGAGCTGGTTTGATGGCTGAGGGTAAGAAATAGAGAGGAGGGGCATCAAAAATGAGTCTGAAGTTACCTCTGGTTTACAAGAGTACTTCAGACTCAGCTCAGTTTCTTATCCAATGATGTAATCAAAAATAAGAGTGGCTTAAAACCGTGAAACTCCTCGGCCGGGAAGAACAAGATTTTTAACAATACGAGTTTCATAACCAGTATATCTCATTTTTTTCATCTAAAGAGTCTTACAATGAATCCTTTTAGGTCTAGAGCCTTACAAGATTCTTCATGAGTTAAAATCGAATGATATCGTTGTCAAAATACACACATAAAAGTCGTTTTACAACAGGGAAGGATTTCTGATAAGTAAGAACAGTTGATCAGAATCGGCTGGTGTTGGTAAATCATAAAATTCAAGTTAATTCCAAACACTCCAAAATTTTCTAGTTACCTATAATTTCTTTTCTAATATCTCTTCATAACGGTGAGATGAGCTTATTGGTCTCTTCAGACTCCCACTATTATTTCCTACTTCTTTAAATTAACTGGAGTAAACTGATGACGTAATTATCTTCTAATATCCATGCCAGTGCTACTTCAGCTTAGGCAAATTTTTGACTGTATAAGACCTTAAGTTTACAATAGTGAGGTTATACTCCTCATATCTCCATATTTAAAGTATCCGTATTATGTGGAGATAACCATGGGGTAAAAACCCATCTTTGAGTTGTGAAGGTACTCTTACCCAGCTCTCTCTAAGAATACGGTTTCACCCCTTAGGAAGTGCTCTGTCTTGTATAAGGATGAGTCTCCATCTATTGTAAGTCAAACTGGCAAACTTTCTTATCTTCTCTGATATCATTTCACACTGCTTTAAACCTTTTCATTTTACTAGTATTAATCAAGAATTTGGCCTAAAATCTTTTGTAATTTTTCGAAGAGATTTTAATGCCAGTCTTGGGGTCATTCAAATTAGAGCTTGTATGCACAAAGATAGGTAGGATATCTCTCTGGCTTGGATACTATCATCTCTAGCCTAGTTTTAATGCTGGAGAAATAAACTATAGTCTTGATGATTATTAGCCTCGATTCTTGACTAATTATAGGTTGATAGTCCATATCAGATTAATTTTTCAAATATTTAGAGCTGTATATAAGGAAATATGATAATAAAAACACAGAGGGGCAACCTCTAGCTCTTCTTTCTCAAATTTTAGTGGCTGCTCTCTCTTTACATAGTAATAACTTACGAAATTTTCTAAAAAAAGAGGTTTATTTTATGTCAGTTCTCATAAAATAGGTAATCCTTAGTAGGTATTAAAATCCTTCCAGGACATCATGGAAAAATGGTCTGAGAAGGTTCTAGCAACCCTTACGTTGCTAAAAGAAGTGCTAATGTTGGCTAGACTCCATCCTATCTGTATAAACCACCAGATGCCAACTCTTGATATAATTAACAGAAGGAAGTTAATTACCACGGTGGCTTCATAAACCATAATTTTTAATACAAAATTTTGGAAATCCAACTTAGAAGACTGGCTGAATAAAAGCTTAGCTATAGAATGTGAAAAAGAGGTACAGTTATTTAAGAAATAATAAGGCTAGGAGAGGCGGAGCACCTAATCAGGACAATTCATATTTCACATTACTGAGTACGAAAGACTCCATCACTTAGTAATGCAGTTCAATAGGAGATGCACATAGGAATAGTATCCTTATTTTCATTCATTGTTACATATTTTACGGTTTACACGCTAAATTTGTGTCTTTGAGACACTTGAAGCTAAGGGAATTTTACCTCAGAAGTTCTTCCCATGCAGGATTTCATACAAGATGAGCATTTTTCGATGTCAAAAATCATCCGAAAATCTTTTATTTTGCTAGCTTTGTAAGTAAAGTAGGATTCTTACCCTGAATAGGGAAATGGGAGTTCTTAAGCAGAAAGGTCCAAGATGGGCTAAAATTAATAATGAGGTGATTATTAGATATTTAGCCTTAGTTTCTGACAATTTGTGCATAAAAAATCTTTTACAAGTAGCCTATTATTCCCTGATGATGTATGCTGAGCAAGTCTTATTGATGAAATGAGAAAAGATAAGAGTAAACCACCTAGGTGTTGCTTAGCTTAGAGTTATCATCAGGCCAAGATAGTAGGCAAGGACTATGATCGTTCTGAATAGAAGGATTGGTTTATCATAAAAATTATTTTTCCAAGTTCTTAGACGAGTTTTTCTTATTATTTCTTGAGTTTCAATCAACGTAACGAACTCTGGGGTTTTGGGGTTTTGGGGTTTTGGGGTTTTGGGG